ATTACTCATGGTACAACCACTCGACCTATTACTCATGGTACAACCACTCGACCTATTACTCATGGTACAACCACTCGACCTATTACTCATGGTACAACCACTCGGCCTATTACTCATGGTACAACCACTCGACCTATTACTCATGGTACAACCACTCGACCTATTACTCATGGAACAACCACTCGACCTATTACTCATGGAACAACCACTCGACCTATTACTCATGGAACAACCACTCGATCTATTACTCATGGAACAACCACTCGATCTATTACTCGTGTAACAACCACTCGACCTTTTACTAATTTAACAACCACTCGACCTATTACTCATGTAACAACCACTCGACCTATCACTCATGTAACAACCACTCGACCTATTACTCATGTAACAACCACTCGACCTATTACTCATGTAATAACAACTCGACCTATTACTCATGAAATAACACTCACCCTATCATAAGTAACAACGACAACTCGACCTACTGTGACTATTGGTGTGTTTAATATGACAAGAAATAGCAACATAATAACAACATTAACTCCATCGAAATAATCTATTACTACAATAACAGATAACATTAATATCACCTGTATTCCGGTAAGGATTTGTAGAATACTAGCAACCAAAATTAATGATTGGTTTTTATTTCTTTATTTTGGTTTTCTTGCACTTTCTAGCTCTAATTTTTGGTTACTCTGTAACAAGACTACAAACATTTGTTTCGAATATTTAAACATATTTATTGATTTCTATTACTTGGATATATCTTTGCTGTATAGCAAAAGTAGAATGTTAGTATCTTGATAATTAGTGCAAATAAATGTTTATTAGATTTGCGTTAACCTGCCATAGTAGTTAGAGCCAAAATAAATTCTTACGTGATTTAAAAAATAAACTTATTTTATTTTTACAAAATTAATAACTGGTACATTAGATTTCCTTGTATTATTTTTATAAAATAAGTATCCAAATCTAATTATATGTTATAATAACAAGGAACAAAAATAATAAAATCTGATTAATGCAATTTTAGAAACAAAAATAAGTGAAAGTAACAGGAATAATTTTTATTATTGTCGGTAGAATGAAAGAAAATGCGTGATGCTATATATTATTGCATCTTGGTAAGAAAAAATATAATATTCTTTAGCCAAAATAACCTTCACTCCTATTTATATGCTTTCCTTTTCTATTTATTTACACCGGATACAATATCTGGATTAAGTTTCAATTTTTTCATTTCGCAAAGTTTATGTTGAATAACGATCAAAGCATCAAGATAAACAATTTAAAATATTTTATTTTAGCCATGATCAATCTCTCTTAGTGCCTATTTACTCGATAAAATGAAGTCTGTCATGTGGTCAAATATTCAAAACCATTATAAATTCTGTCTTTAATTTGTTTTACTAAAACAATTAACGCTCTAAAATTATTTAAAATATAAAGCAATATTTAATTCCTATATCAATTTTAAGATATTTAATTTTAATAGAATATTTTATCTTCATATTGATGTGAGAGGAGATCGTCACAAGAATTGATCCCAAATCTCTGAATTCTGAGAAATCTGGGTTTAATTTTTGAGATATGTAGTATGTCTTTCTTATATTAAATATAGTTAGAACAGTTAATATGGTTTTTTCATTAACGTGTACATATATAAAAAAAGATCAAATTTCAATAAAATTTTTAATTTTATAATAGAAACTTAAGGAAAAGTTTGAGTAGTTGTTCAAGAAATTATGTATGCTAATTGATAAATTTTGAGTTTATTTTGTAGTAAAAGATAAATACTCTGATTAAATTTTACACCTTGGTCTGAGAAACCAATAGAGAAGAGAAGAGTGGAAAGATCCTTGCATTAATATTTTTGAAAAAAAATAAAAAAAATATTATATATCATATTATCTCATCTATATATACTGTATATAGGCTTAAATATAAATTAATATATTATAAATAAAAACGGATTCCAAAACAGTTTAGTATATAAAATTTTATATATTGATAAAAAAAATTCTTTTCTGACAATAATTTATTAGATAGTATTAAGCTACTATTGGTGGAAGATACTTGATGTAATGGCTATAAACTCTTATTTAATAAAAAGTTTTACATCTAATGTGTGTTATAACTATAAAAAAAAATTCTTTTCTGATTACATTACATTTAATAAAAATTATTAAATAAGAAAACAGAAAAAATTTTGCCTTTTAAAAAACTATAAAAAATTTTAAAGAATCTTTTTTCAATCTTTAAAAATCAACTTATTAAATTCCTCAATATTTTACTTGATATTTTTATTATTAATATTAATAAATATTTAATAAATATTATCCATTATCACTTCAAAGAATTGGCTTCTGCCAATAGTACCATCTTCAATTTTATCAAAACAAGATCTTTGCAAACAGTACAAAAATTATTCCAGTTAATCCAGGATATCCCTTAGAAGACTTTTTTTATATAATAATAGATATTTTATACTGGTGCCTATCAAACTGTATTATAAAAATAAGAAACAACAAAAAAATTCTTCAAGAAGTATTCAACTATTTGAGAAGAATGACAAAATCAACTTTGTTCTGATAATGCTAAGAATTAAAAAACTAATATAAAACAAATTAATTCAAATCAAATATATTGGTTCCAAATCAAATTTAAGATCTGGTGATACTTTCCAATGGATCAATCTGTTACTCTGCTTTTTAAAAATCCACTAATCAATAATTTTCAGTTAGACAGCAGTATCAAATGGTGCAAAAAAATTCTAAATATCACCAAGACCTATACAATCTGTAAAAGCTCCTTAGTTTTAAGAATATTTAGATATACTCACAAACCCCACAGTCTCAAAATTATTACAAATCTAATAAAAAAATAAAAAGCTCCAAAGTTAATAAATAAAGTGATCTTATCACCTTCAGAGTCAAATTGCTTTCAGGAACTCTTTCTATAAGAGAATATCTTCATAAATCATATCCAAAACAATATTTTAATCCATATTGTTCCCAGTATAGTCTATATAATAAGAATATTTGATATGTCTTCAAATACCTATTAGCATTAAAAGTGTTACACTTGATTTTTGCCCCAGATTATCATTATCTCTTGTCCAATTTTTATTAGCATTTACCTTTGAAATATTGTCCATTCTAGAATAATTCTTGTATTACTATTCTTATTAATGTTTAGCACTATGCTTTTTGTGCTATAGTTGCTCTAGAATATTTCCTATTTTACTTATTTAAGTTTATTCTTGTATCTTTGTCAGAGCATTTGTTTCTATACTAACATATACAGATAACTGTTCTAACAAATATAATACTTCTTTTATATCTTTATTATCTTTTATAACTTATAATTATCATGTATAAAAATAATATAATCAAACATGTATATAAAGGTTCCAATTTTGTCTAAGAATTGGCAAGCTTGAACCTATATTTTATCAAATAAATATTTTGACCTTTATAAATAAAATCACTATTGCCTCTTTCGTTTGACATTATATATCTCAGAATTGTACTAATTTGTACATCTCTAAGAACTTTAGTATATTATCTTGGCCCTGTCTATCTAAAGTGTCTTCCTGCTACTAGTTCTCTATATTTATCTTTCTCTTGAGATAGAAACAATATATGACAAAAGATATTAGTTAACTTATCAATACTATTAACAATATTTTTTATCTAGACAGTAACCACAAGCCAATTTCATATGCCTGGCAGTTAACAGAGCTGGCATATAGCATTACTGACATCTTCTCTACAATCAACTTCTTCAACTGAATTAAAACCTCAACTGAAACTTTAGCTTATTTATACAAATCAGTCTGGATATCTACTGTATCACAGCAAACACTTCTCCTCTTACTGATATCAAATGTAACAATAATTTTTATAGCAACATATTGTTAGTGGGGAAATTGCTTCAGTAAGGCTTGGCAATGCGACATTCATGTAACACACCTAATCGGAATAACAGAAATGCTTTAGAAATAGACTCATGATATAAAGAAAAGTTTAGATAGTTTATTTTATAGTCTGATAGTTTATGAGTCATAAAGTTATAGTCCTATAGCAGATAGTCATAGTGATATAAATAAGGGAGCAAGAATAATAAAAAGAAAAAAATACAAAAACAATAAAAACTTAAACACAAAAAAGTAATAAACGTAATTACCATTCTTGTAGAAGTGCGAAATGGTCGTGCAAGTGTTAATTACAGTTACTATAAGTGGTGGTGTGATAGATGCGCCTAAAAAAGAAGTTGGCAATTAACCCTCCCTTCTAGAGTAACGTCGCCGTGAGAGGATCATTCTGGTAGTCACTAAAAGGAATAGTGACTCGAACAATTGACAAAGGGTAACAAAGGAAAGAAGAAGGTTAATTATAGGTTCAAGATTGGCTAAGTCAAATCCACGCCTCGAGTAGAGAAAAGAAGAACAACCTACCCTGACGTTACATGAGTTTGACCTGCCCCAAGCGACAGACTCACTGTTTTACCATCAACAATATCAAAACAAACAATCAAAAATCCAGCCAAATCCAAATCTTTTAACAACTTTTTTACTTTAATATCAATTATTATAAACATATTTACTATAGTCACTGACTCTTATATTTAAAGTAAATTCAATTTTACTAAATGTATTTCTCAAATTAATTACAAATTATCTTAATTTCTTCTATCCAATGCTAAATAGATAATTATATCTGCTTAAAGCCTCTTAACAAAATATATTGTTTTAAAATTTCTTTTCAATATTAGTTTAAGGGTTACTGTAGGCAAGTTAGCATTTAACTTGTTATACTATTACACATAAGAGATGTTGTTTCTTTTACAATATATATATTATTATACAAATTTAATAAAGAAATAATGTTTACCTACAAAAAATAATAATAATAATGCTTATTTGCCTTAAGAAATAAAAAGAGGAATATGTTTCTTGAAAAAAGATTTTCTAAAAAGGAAATTTTCAAAAAATCAGTATTGAATGAGTGAGAATTTTTTTTAACAATATAATTAATTTTATTTATTATATGTGTAATTATTTTTGAAGGTGAACCAAAATTTAAGGTATAATTTTATTACCCTAAAAATATAATCTAAAATTTTTTTTTTTTTTACTGTTAAGTGAGGCATTTCTCACGATCTTTATTAATAAAGTAAATTCGTTACATAATTAATATT